TCCTGAAACCACACTCACAGAACGGAGATTAACAGTCCAAGTGTCTCAGACCGAGAGATGACTAGAGTGGAGGGGGGAAGGCCTTGGGAGAGGGACCACCTGGAGAGAGATAACCCAGAGCAAAAGAGATCCAGAACCAAAAGGGCCGATCTTCTGGAGGGTCCTCCTCTATATGCTGGGCATGACATGTATGTTATGGAATAGATTATTGGCCACTCTGGGTCTCAGTCCTGAACCTAAGATCAAATCCTGGGCTAGTAACTGGGAATGTACTCCCTCCCAGCTTCTCTCGTCTGCAGACCACATAAACATCACTTTTTATCAGCTTTATTCTGAGCACAAATCCAAAACACAACCTCTGGCTAGCTATTATGAAGAAAGTTAACTCTGTCTCAGCTTAACCCAGGACAGGTAGCTAATGTGAAAAGGAGAAAAAAGTACTTGCCAGTGTTTATAGTGTCAGATATTTGTAAGAATTTAGGGTACTTCAAATAAGCAACATACAGTGTTAGTTCTCAGAGTGAAAAAAAATAACCAAAAAAACAAACAACAAAACACTCAACCACCACAAAACCAAACCAAATGACACAGTGATAGTTTAATCACACGTGCTGGTATAGAGTAATGAATAGAGTGACAATAATGTAGTCACCGATCACTCCAGATCCAAGCTTTATTCTGTAATTGTTAAATATGTTGCCTATGTACTTTGTAAGCATGCTGAAAATCACTTTGGCTGATAAAAGTGCCATCCACTCAGTGGTGAACACGGCTCTGCAGAGTGACTGCATACAGAAATCAGAAAAGGTGATAATGAAGTTCCCCTTGTTTTGTTAGAGATTTCAGGTGACCATTGGCTGCTTTTTTCAGTCCCTTACTACACCAAGCAGGAATTAGGGAGATAATGAGGAAGATATTTCAGATTTCTGTGGTGATAATCAAACCCTAATTCTACTCACAGAGGCAGTTTGCTGCTTGTGACAAACACAAAAATCTGTCCTACCCTTTCCTGAATGTGTTTAAAGTAAAAAAATGGAGAATGATGTCAGGAGACATAAAGAAGGGTCTGTCACTCAGACCTGCAGGAAGAAGAAACAGAGCACAGGATGAGAAAAGGGTGTAAAACTGTGGGAATAAGGAAAAAAGGTGAAAATGCAGTTGCATTTTGTCCCACTGCAAATTATTTTTGTAGTGTTAATGCACTATGAGTCTTAAATTCATTAATTGAATTCTAAAGACTGCCATCTTCAGTGACTTTGAAGCAGCAATGAAGGAAGTGATCTTCCTAGGTATTCTCATAAAATACTTTTTTCTGCAAGCTCTTCCCATCCCACCGTTATGGCAATGGGTTTTTCATCAGTACTATGCTGGTTTTTTAGGTCTAAGCAAATTAAAACCTTCCATTAAACATACCTTGTTATATGTAGGTGAACCCTCTTATAAAGTTTGTGCTCTTGTAATAGATGTGATGTGTCAGGTAGCATCTCAGAACAAGACAATTTAACAACCTAACTGTTCTTTCTGGAAAATATTTTGAGATGAAGCTGTTGATAGGTTATTCACAGGTGGCATAACTGGCAGTCTCGCAACACATTCTTTCTCAGTGAGAGCCCTGATTCTGGCAAGAGAAATTGGGATTTGTAGTTGTTGTGTCAAGTCTACACACACACACACACTCCCCCCCAAAAAAAATAAATTGAAAAAGACAGCCCAAAAGAAGGGAAAAAATTCCAGTGGATTTTTGCTGGTTTGTCATGTCAGGTGTCAGCAACTGTGCCTTGAGGACTTACTCCTTGACAATGGAGATTTCACTGCACTCTTAGGTACAGTGCTGGACAGTTTTGCTCAAGGGGTGTGGGACTCGGGGTGTGTTCAGGACAGCTTGGCAGCAGTCCAGCTGAAGTTTGGACATTAGAGTCAGTAAGGGAGCAACCAAATGTCCCGTGTCACTCAGCTGCCTGCCATGCTCTGCAGCAGCCAGCCAACTGTTCCTGTCTTCTGGAGGGCCCTGACCTGACCTTCCTTCCCTTCTCTGCATGGGCTGGTCTCTGAGTGCCCCAAGTTTAAGAGAAGCATTATGTATCCTCACTCATGCCAGAAATCGTCATTGCAGGAGTTGTAAATGCTCATTTGATTGGTAAAGAAGGGTACCTAAGTTTATGCTTTGAGGGGCATGCTATAGATAAATTAATATCGTCTTCTTCACGTGATTAAAAAGATTGTAAAAGGAGCTGACTGCACAATCTGAATGTCCACAGTGAAAACACACCTTTAATTCTGTTTTATTGAAAAACTTAAATCACCCCCTATCTTTTTTTTTTTTTTCCCCTCAGAGCATACTCATTTCATGTAAGTGCAGATGGTCAGATGCAGCCAGTTCCTTTCCCTCCTGATGCCCTCATCGGTCCAGGAATCCCTCGCCATGCCCGTCAGATCAACACTCTGAACCACGGGGAAGTTGTGTGTGCAGTTACCATTAGCAATCCCGCGAGACACGTGTACACAGGTGGAAAGGGGTGCGTCAAGGTCTGGGACATCAGCCATCCTGGCAACAAGAGCCCTGTTTCTCAGCTGGACTGCCTGGTAAGTGAAGAGTGACACGTAAACAGTGGAAGAAGATAGCAGGTTGTGTTAAGATTGAGATGATACCATTAAGGTGAAGAAAACAGTGCGTATTTGACCGCTGTCATTGGTATCAAAGCTTGATATTTCGTTTGTAATTTTGTTGTTTCATTTAGAACTGAGTTTGAAGTACATTCCTTGCTGTACTTGTGGTTTTTTCCCCCCCGAATGGATCAAAACATCTTTAATATCCTAAAATTGTATCAGTAGAGGGAAAGACCAAAGACAGCACAGAAAGCATTGTTTATAAACTTTGACATTTGTTGGCAGTCTTAAAACTTGATGTCCCATCATGCTAAAGATTGCTGTCCTACAGCTGCATTCTTTGAGTATGTTTGAAGAATGTGTCATGTATTTTGTGTCTGTGTATGTGTGTGAATGCATTTCCCTGTCTTAATGTGACAATTAAAAATATCCCTGAGCATTACTCACAAATTATTTGAATGTGCTAACAAGGTGAACCATTGTTAGCAGCTTTTCTCGTCTCATTTACCAGTTCTTGTAAGATGTTGCTTCTGGTTACAGAGGCAGAAAAATGAGAACTGTGCAGCGCATGTAGATATATAATGAATTGCTACAGAAGTTGCTATACACATTAAGAAAGTTGCCCAAATATTTTCCTCTGACGTCTCCTAGGTAGTGGCAGCAAGTCTCACTGGAACAGAGGCAAGGGGGTGTGCAGGGAATTTGGTACTCCCCCGTGTTGAGAGGTTAATGTGCTGAAATAAAAAGGGTATGAAAAAGTAACTTTCTGCACAAGCTGTGTCGAATACAGCTATCTTGAGTTGTTTTGGGGTGGGTTCAGGTCTTTACATTTTGATGCTAATTAAGATTAAATATCTCTCACTACTGAATTTTGTAGATCAAGTTTAAGTACTTCCCTAATGTCATGTAATTTTCTGGCATTAATACACTTTATCATTGTCATAAGTATAAATGCCTCATTAAAACCAGGAGGGAATACAATACTTTTATGGATTTCTGCTCTCGTGTTAATGCTGTTTTCCTTTCCTCATGAGTAATCTCTTGATGGCTTCTGTCTCCACAGAACAGAGATAACTACATCCGTTCCTGCAGATTGCTCCCCGACGGCCGCACCCTTATTGTTGGCGGGGAAGCCAGCACGTTATCCATTTGGGACCTGGCAGCTCCAACTCCTCGCATCAAAGCAGAGCTGACATCTTCTGCTCCAGCTTGTTATGCCCTCGCTATCAGCCCTGATTCCAAGGTCTGCTTCTCTTGCTGTAGCGATGGCAACATTGCAGTGTGGGATCTGCATAACCAGACTTTAGTAAGGTAGGTCAACAGAACTGGATCATCAGGTTGTGAAGAATTAATTAGACACGGCCTTACGTTCTCATCTGCATACATATGCTGTGTTTCTCCATGGTGTCTGCATAGCTGCTTCCTGTATTTCATTGCTAGGCAATAGCCATGGTGATACCTTGACAAAAGTCTATATAATTGCTTATAGGTTTTGAGAGTTTCATCATTCCAGGCCTGTTGAGTGGCTCATAACTACAGTTTCCAAAGATGAGCTGGTGTTAACACTGCTGTAGGTTCTTTGAGCAGATGTTTTTCTGTATTTCTGTGCAATACACTGGGCTCACACTCGAGTCTCTTTAATCAGTGCTCCAGCAAATGTATACTGGGTAAAGATGTGTGTAAATGACTGTGTTGCAAACTTAGAGTTTTAGAAGTATGGGTAACTGCTCAACACTAATGTACACTAAGCTAGGAGCCAGTCATGCAGAGCTTCTCTGTGCACTGGCAGGCTTTTACTCCCTGATGTTCCCACTTAGACTGAAATTTTTTTTCCAGTTTCGTTGATGACCTGCAGATTCTTAAACTGAGTGAATCTTGATGATCATGCTACATTCCTTTGCGGGGAGTGGGGTATTTTCAGTCGAATAGTGGGTATCATACAGTCAGCAGCAAAGATCCCTAGAGTATCTGACTTGTAAAGTGCGCTTTTTGAAACCAGATTAGGGCTTGGCTGTCTGGCCTGGTTGCTTCATCAATTCATCACAGAACTCACATGGTCATCCCAGAGTTTGCATTAATCTCAGATTGCTATTGGAATCTACAGTTCTGTTGTCTTTAATGACGGTGTGACAGGGATGAAAGAAAATGGAGGAATTTTGTATACACGCACATTCTTTCCAGTGTGAGGACATGCATATCTTCTTTCAATATTTTCAGGCAATTTCAGGGCCACACAGATGGAGCGAGCTGTATTGACATTTCTAATGATGGCACCAAACTATGGACGGGAGGCTTGGACAATACAGTCAGATCCTGGGATCTCAGAGAAGGGAGACAGCTACAGCAGCATGACTTCACATCACAGGTTCAATCTCAGAAGCTTTGGCATGTTAAGAAAAATCTGTCATGGTTTCCAAAGCAAGCACTTTTGCTTTTTGTGTTTTGTTTTGTTTTGTTTTGTTTTAAAGCAAAAAAAAAAAACCAACAAAACAGACTCAAAGAGAACTCTGAAGAATTTTTCACTTAATCTCGGACTTTTTTTTTTTTTTTTTAATGTGGCAGCTAAACATCTTCCTGGATTATGATTATTTGACAGATTAGTACTTCTCCCGTGAGAGTACCGGAGAATCCTTTTTATAAAAGAATTGCCAGATTAAAGTCTTCCTGTGTGCAATCTCTTCCCATTTCTGAAAATTCTTGTTCAAAAATACTTTACAAAAAATATTTTTAAATGCTGTCAGATAAGCTAGGACATTAACTTTTATAGCTTGATTTAGTGCTTTACTATTACACTTTTAATTGGGCTTTGTTTACATGAACTAATTTATCTTGATTACTATAGTAATTGGTTTACCACGTTTTTAAAACTGTAGTAGACCAAAATGTGTTTTTTGCATAGTGTTAACAGTGTAGCAAGAGTTGGTTTTGAATAACTCAGGCTCATTCCTTTACTGATTGAAGCATGTGCTGTGCTAATTCCAGATCTTCTCACTGGGCTACTGTCCAACTGGTGAGTGGTTGGCAGTAGGAATGGAGAACAGTAATGTCGAGGTGCTGCATGTTACTAAGCCAGACAAGTATCAGCTGCATCTTCATGAGAGCTGTGTGTTGTCACTCAAATTTGCTCACTGTGGTAAGCAAATCTTTCTATGCCAATGTTTTGCCTTCTGAGAACTTTGTTCAAGGTTACCTTTAAATAAAAGTAGGGGTATAGTTAAAAATCAAATATTAAATTGAAGTATTAAAATGATTTTTAAAATTCTATGTAACTGCTTTTTTATGTGAACTGCTTATGTTGTGATTGAATATCATAGTGCAGCCAGATGAAAATGTGACTGTTCTTTGGATATATTTTCCATTAATGTGTGAATGGTTTGGTTTTATGATTAACCTGTTTCTTGGGGTGCATTCCTTGAAAATAAAATGCAACAATAATGTTTAAACAATCTGTTGCAGGCAAATGGTTTGTCAGCACTGGAAAAGATAATCTTCTTAATGCCTGGAGAACACCTTATGGAGCCAGTATATTCCAGGTAATAATCTTCTAAAAACTGTTTTCCACATACATTACAGTGCAGTAGAGCTGCACGTCTCAGGGTCTGTCATTAGCTTAAAGAGTTATAAAATTTAAATTCTTGGCTAATTACTATGCCCCTTTAAGACTTTTTTCTGTAACTAAAGAGAGATACACTTTTGTCCTTTCTAGTATTTGAGTAATTTAGCTCTTACAATAAAGTAGCCCTTTAATCAGAAATTGTTTTCAATACCCTTCTTTCTCACCTTCTTGTATGAGTTGCTATAATACAGTACCCAAGTCACATCATTAGGTAAGCATTCACTGAAGTTCAGAAATGTAGCTAAAACAGTGAAAGTCACGTTCAGCATATGTATTTTTCTTGGATGAGATGTGTGAAGTCCGCGGATCGGACAGGCAGACTCCTGACCTGAAGACTGTATCCTTATGGAGGAACCCCACGGAGTGTAACTGGAAGTTGTTACCTTTCTATGGTCTTTAATCCCTCTGTGCCCAGTTTTAATGGCACTTCAGTGCCATTAAGGAAAAGCAGGATTTTTGGCATGCCCCTCTCTTCTTTCACCTGCAGGTACCTCTAGGCTGGGAATTTTTTTAATTAGGTTAGCTGGTGTTCTGGTTTAAATGGTCAAGTCTCACCTGTACTGATAGCTGGCTTTGGGGACAGCGCAGTTTGCCTTGACATGTGAAAGCTGAGGTCTGAGTTTTCTTAGTGGAGGGTGTTCAGCTCTGGAACCACATCCTGCAGAAAGCCCAAATCATCCTAACAAGATCACATCTCCCTTAAAAGTGATCTTAAAAGCCCATTGCAGCTTTCTTAATCAGGGGTAGAGAAAGAAACTTCCTGTGCAGTGCAGCAGAGGTTTCTTGGAAAAAACTTAACCATGTTTGGGAATTGTTTAGCTCTTGCAGTGACAGGCAGAAAACAATGTAGAAATGTTATGTAAAGAAAACATGCACTAAACCAGCAAGTAAAATGCGACAATACCTACACATCATCTCATAAAAGACAGAAAAGCTGGGAGAGACAGAGCTACTGCATCCTGGTATGTCCTGTCTCTGATTCACCTGCTGTACACTGTTGCGCATTCTATTCCACCACAGTATATTTTCATATTTGCATCCTCCCTGATAATGTAAATTCCTTTGTGCAAGGCTTTTGTCTTCTGTGTTGGGGAAGGAACGAGAGGATATACAGTTACTTCTGTGGAATATCTTTGTTTCATACCTGTGGGTGGGTAGGGCTTTGTAGTGCTTCTCCATATGGATTTCTGGTTTACAACAGAAGAGGGAGGGAAGAAGGAGAAGGAGATGGCTTTTCATTCATTCAAAAGCTAACGCATAAAATATAAATGAGTGCTCACTGCTTATAAAGTGTATAGAAAGGACTGCTTTTTTTTTGTTTGATTGATAGATTATCTGTAGGTCCATAACTTTCACTTCTCTTTCCACCACTGGGTTTTGTTGCTATAGAGCTTTAGGTGGAATAAGGTTGGAGAAACAGTCTTGTAACAAAAGCTGACACTACTGTACTGATGTTTAAATGAGCTTTTGGTGTATTCCCTCTCTGTAAACTCTTGCAATTAATCTTCAGGCCCTTCTGAATTGAAGGACTAGAAAGACGTAATTTTCATTTTTCCTTTTTTTTGTTTTTGTTTTGTTTTCCTTTCTTGTAGTCCAAAGAATCCTCATCTGTACTTAGCTGTGATATCTCTGTGGATGACAAATACATTGTCACTGGCTCTGGGGACAAGAAAGCTACAGTCTACGAAGTTATTTATTAGAGACAAATCTGAAAGTGGACAGAACTCCTTCTCCTAGCACTTTGCTGTATATTCCTTTTTTTTTTCTTTCTAAACGGAGAACTTACATGCTCATGACAGTTGTGGAATTTATTTTTACCTTCTTAACTTGCTATTGATTTGTCAATGCTTATTAAGAACTTGTGGTACCAAATTGTCAGATATCTGCTTGTAAGAAGATGGAATAAGCATACTTAACAGTGAACTTAACTCTTTAATTATGTATTATAGCTGTAATGTATTTATTTTGTTTAAAGAAGGCTTTCTAACAATGAACTGCCTAAATAAAGCTGACTGGCCCGGCTTTAGTTTGAAAGCTGCATTGTATACTTTGTGTTTTTGCAGGTGGATAAATTGGGGATCTTGGAGAAGGATGTTCAGGAGACAGTTAAAGTTACGCTAAATAGACTTGTAGTTTCTATTTAAAAAAATAAACTTTGTTATATTTTTTAGTCCTGTTCTTGGATGAGACCTCTAAGTGTTATTACAGTATAATTATTTGGTGGGAAGATGCTGTATCTTAACTATTTTAGACAGTCTTGGAAACTTAGGAAATTGCAAACTGTAGCCAGTAATCTACATGCCTGTGATGAATGGCAAATTCAGTTCACATCTAAATTAAATTCACTTTAAGTAAGAATGTGCTAATTTATATATTTGCAGTGTTAATATAGCATCTTGTGTACAGATTAGTTCTCAATGCTTTTCTGTTGATAAACATAAAGCATTTTGGTGTCAAGCTAGGTTTTTTTAATATAAACACCTCTCTTTGTTATATTGTAGAGAGTACAATAAGTTGCCTCAAAGAATCACCTTTGTTACTTCTGGAAACTTTTGCAATGTTTCCTTGAAAATGGGGATATGTGTCTTTGGGCAATTTTTCAACTACAAGAGATTATGAAAAATATTTGATATGTTCTTTGGAAACTGCACTGAAATAAGAATGGATGCCTACCAATATACAAACTTCAAAAGCAATGACCTCCAAGGTAGGATTTACAAGAGCACTCATTCCGACATACAAAAAAGGAATGATTTCTCATTGGGATAAGGACTTGCGTTGTTCGCCAGCAGTTCAATCCTAGTCTCGATTGGATGTCCCTAGAATGGACGCAGACTGAGCCATTGTGCCAGAGACAACGTGTTATCTTTTTATGTTGTTGTTGTTGCTGTTAAACTATGATCTGTGACTTTTTTTTTTTGAATGCTTTAAAAAAAATCTTTTAAGTCTGTGAATCTGCTGATGTACAGTGCCTTTGCTGCTATGGATCAAAATCAAAAGACCCGTGTAGATAAATCTTATCGTATAAGTAGAAAATTACTTAATTTCATACTAGAAATGGATTGATGCTGCAAGTTAAAATGGACTGTTCATTGAAGTTCCCAATGTGGTAGCAAAAAATGGTGTCTTAAGTGCTTAGTGTTTGATGTCATTAACAGTTTCGTAATACTCTACATTGTAGAAAGATTTTGATACTAAACTGTGTCATTGTACATATTTCTAATGCATTGTATTGACCACCAGTACTTCTATAATGGTAGATTATTGTTTGTGCATTCAGACTTTTAAGCATTAAACATAAGTAACTTCTAAGATGCATTTTTCTATTCTTTTCCCCCCTCCCTCATTATTTTTGTATGTGATAATCTCAGTTATGTGTGCAGAATGCTGTCTGTAAGGACAACAGGCCTTCAGTCGCACAGCATGCCACTACAGATACTTTGCAGGTTTGTCACTGAGAGACAATATTAAGTTTCACAAAATTTCTCCAAGCTAGCAAAATCAGTGAATTTATAGTTGCACAAGTTACTTAACTGCAGTGATGCTGAACCCTTGGAGGTATCAGCCACAAGACTTTAGCTGTGTCACCTAGAAGTTTACCACCTCCTGTTTATGTAGTTTCCTGTCTGATAAAAAGGTTTACGTTATCTCACACCTTGGAGAGAGTGAAATGGGGACAATTCCTGCAGGAATTCTGAAATATGTGGAGCTCAGCAGGATATGGGGAGTGGTGTTGCACTGCAGTATCACAACTGGGTTTCCCCATTCAGAGCTGAAACCTGTTCACGCCTGTGGAGGGGCTTTTCTTGACTACAGTTGGATTTAGATCAAGAGTTTAACCCAGCTTCCATTGAGTTAAGACAGAGGTTAAAGTGAGCTAGAGGAAATTAATTTATACACTGTTGTGGGGGGGGGAGGTGGGAGGAGCAGTGCTATTCATAACAGGAGAAATGGAAATGGAAAAAAATCCAAGGGGAAATGGGAATTAAATCTCTCTCCGGTAACCCATTGCTGAAAAGCAACGTTGTGCATGTTGGAAATTCCCAGGCATGTAAGCCTGTCCTGCTGTGACATGCCAGCCTGTGGTGGCTGCCGGTATATGAACCCAGGCTGAGAAATGTTTTTGTTTTTTTTGAAATGCCAAAACAAGGCTTAAGCTTATGAGGTCATTCAACTGTACTGTGAGGGACTCGGTGATACTTATTGATAGAGGAGAGTTTAGAGGCAAGTTTCCCTCTGAGCTATCAGTTTCCTTAGAGTTAACAGAGGAGAGTTTTCCACACGTCCCCCAGAATAATGTAAGTTTTCACTCTTACTGAGGTTCTGTGCTACTTGGTGTGCAATAATGCTTCATAAAGCAAACATGGTACAGATGCTTTCTGTTAATTTTAACTTTTATCTGAAGAGATATAATTTACCTGCTATAAATACTATATTGGGGACACATTTTATTTTCAAAGGCATTCAGAAATTTAGAAGGCTAGGGTGTACTCCATTTGCTAACAAAAGAGAAACCACCTACTTAATGTTTGCAGTGGATGTTATATTTTTGTGTAGTAGATCAGGCATAAGAGATTACTTGAAAACACTAAGATAAAGCCTTCCTTTAAAAAGAATAAAACATTGCATGCTCCTGAATTTGTACCAGAGCTAGTTTTGACAGTGAAGTAATATACTTTTAAAGCAGCCTGCCATATACCTGCTTATTAATCTTTGTATTGATGTCTTGTAAACAGTCTAGGAATTAAATGCTTTAATCCAGGATTACTGCAGTTAAATGTGTAATCATCCTATTTTTTTTTCCCCTGTGGGGTTGAGTGCAAGTGAGAGATGGTACAGGGCTACTTTCTGTTTTTCAGTTAAGCATACCTAGGGTCACCTTCCTTTTTCATTCTTTAGTTTTTCTCACCACTGCAGAGCACAATTTTGTGCAAAATGTTTTTTTACAGATTTTATGCCACAAACATGTGTCTAGCATTCTCCATATTCAAAGTACAACCATTGCTTTCTTTGTATTATTCCCCTCTCAAATGTTCATTAGTACAAATGTTCATTAGGAAAGGCATTTCTTTCTCATCTTTGTATTCTTTCTGACTGGCCAGTATAGACGTGTTTAAGGGGAACACTTTCCATCAAAACAGTATTTTCTAAAAATATGTAATTTTAAATTATATTTCTGCTGGTTCTTTGATGAAAGTGGTTTTTCTCTCCTATTTATTTTTAAGGTACTCAGTTATGTAAAAAAATTTAAAAAAGAAGCTTTTTACTGGCTGTGATTTTCCTGTATGATGGATTTTTAAGTTTGTACTGGAACAGTTCAAATTGGATTTTCTGTTTTCACTCTGGCACCCAGAACACATAGGACATTCCTTCTTCCTGAAATGTTAATGGGTGTGTGAGAGAAACAGGAAGGTAGCTATGCAGGTCTAGGTATGTCTGGAGTAACTTCTACAGAAACACAGGTCAGATCCTTTGCACAAATGAGCTCATCTGTGCTGAAGATGACAATTCTCCCATGGCTTACACAGCTGAAAATCTAGCTAACTGCTATAGGCATAGAGGACCCAATGAAGCCATTTGGATTGAGGGTTTTTGTTTTGTTTTGTTTTGAACTGTTTGGTCCTTTGATCCTCTTCTGATTTCTGCTAGCATGTTTATTTGCTGAAAATCACGATGTGACTGGCTTCTACTCAAGCACTGATGCTCTGAAAGACTGAAAAGAAAAAAGTGTTAAATAAAGTGTGTATATCTTGTATATGCAAGAGTCCAGGAATTCAAAGCAGTAGCTTGGGCTGCAACCATTTCTCATTTGCATTGAATATACTACATCTTTGTGGCACCAAATTAGCAGTGAATACAACAATACAAAATAAGCTTTAGAACATCAAATATGGCTGCTGAGAAAAATGTCACTTTGAATTTTTCAGAGCAAATGCACTCTGAAGAGCTGAGCCAAAGAATGGCTCTTACGTGGGGTGTATGGGAGGAGCAGTTGCATTCAGTAGTGAAGACCTTTTCTGATACTGACATTGTGTAGTGGCCACAGTGGTGTTGAAGAGGATTGGGCAGTATGGTCTTGATGTACAGCCAGCCAGTTCTGCCATATATTTACATGAGAATCCCCTTCCCAAGCAGCAGGAGACGAATCCCAGACTGGTATGCTGTAGCAGATCATCTCTGACAAGCTCTTAAATAATGCACGTGCCACGTCTGCTTTTGAACCAAGAGTTACTGAACATAACCCTTGAGATTTCACGTTTCTTCCAGTATTTGGAGTACAGCGTTTCCACCTCACAGCAAGAAATTTTTATGTCAAAACCAATAAATGTTCGTACTTTTACCAAATGATTTTCTGTCCTGGTTACAAGGAAACAGTATTATCGTGTCTTTTTTTATTATTAAAAATGGTGTAGTCTGACATTTACAACGTGTCCATAAACCTGACGTCAAGCGCAAAGAAGCTCTTCTGTGGGGTCACTTGGACTCACATAGTTATGTTCTAAAATGTTTTTGCAGAAATATGTTTTTTCTTGTTTTGGGGGGGATTAACCTATGATATCGTATGCATAGTGTACACATTAAGGGAGGGACTGTCTGGTAGTTACTCCTGCATCTGGGTTTGCACTTAGCTGATTACCCCAGAATGCTACAATACATCTGAAGGGTAAAATCAGTAAGTACAAATATTTAAGGATTTAAAAAAAAAATTTCTGCTGTTCCACAGTAATTATATTGACCCAAACTGTCTTTTAATGTCATACCAAGGTAAGCATCTGTATTACACCTTCTTTTCATATTCAAATAAAAGAAGGAGTGGAGGAATTTAAAGCTAATCTTTAGCTTTCAATCAAATCTGTTCTTTAAAAAATACCCCGAGTGCTTGGAGGAGTAATTGTCTTGGTTTTATTGTCATTATTCTTGAAGAATTTTATAACAAATATGCTGTGGCACAATCCACAGTAATGCTATAAATAGGGATAGGTGATATGGTTGCTTTTAAAAGCCAGGTTTTAGACAGTGCTATAGACATAAAAAAAAGTCAGTGTGACTTGGTAGTCAAAGGTGTTACCTTGTTCCTTAGTAAGAGTAGTGCAGGTTTTTGACAGTATGTTTGAATGCATTTGGCTGTCTGTCCGGTATGGCTTGGGGAAACTTTGAAGGGTTTCAACAATTTTGTCTTAATTTTTTTACTGTAATTAGGATGCGTTTGATGCAAGAAATGGTGCATACCAGTCAGATCCCAGGGCCACGGGCAGGAGGTGCCATGTGGAACGGACTGTTCTGCTTCTGGTTCCAGGCTTCCCTCTCTGCTGCCTGGTATGTTACGAAATAGTTTGCACGAGTCCTCTGTTACGTTCTTGTGTATGAAAGGCATTATCTAAAGGCTAGATACCTGTTATTTAGAAAAAATTGTCACAGCTGTATTAAAATATAGGGAGATGTTTTTTGCTGGGGAAAGAACAAGGAGGACCTTTGGGGAATCAAGCATTTCAACCTGTTATGGAGCACTGTAAGTGTGCAAATGAGACAGTTGCACAACTGTGTTATAAACTGTCAGTCTTCCAGAGTGGGGAGAAAAAGAAATCCTAATGTGACATAAGTATAATAGACTTCCTTGTGTTTCAGCATAGCTTTAAGGTATGAGGAATGAAGTCCAGTTTACATTCCTTTTAGAATAAACAAACATGAATCCTCTTGTGATATTAATGATGGCGTGGCTAGTCGTATTACAAATAATAGTGATGTGTAAAGAACCAGGATAGTCACCAGGTTTTCTCTCCACCACATGAAGCAATATTATACAAGCAAGTATAATCTCGTAAGTGTGGACAGTGATGTTAATGTTTCAATTAAAATATTTTTTCCAGAGCAAGATTGTCATCCTCCCATTTACTATTGCACACGTCTTTGCGTGATTAAAAAAAAAAAATCCCACCTCCATTGCAAATTAGTTTATTTAGTTAATTCTTTTGAGTAACAATCAGAATAGCTTCTCTACATCATATAAATTTTAGGGTGTTTTGGGGTTGTGTGTGGCTCCGCTGCTATTTTCTTACTCCGTCCTTCCCTTCTGGGAACCTTCCTGAAGCTGGTGTTTAGCAGGCAAGAGATGCTGTTGCTTGTGGCTTGGTCTTTATCTTGGGGTTTGCTCAGTGAATAGGAATGAAGAGCGTTCGCAGGATTTGGCTGGCTGTAACAACTGCTGTGACAGCTGTTACAGACTCATTTGTGCCTCTCTTCCTCCAACCGGTCTTAAGGCATGCAGCAGGAGCAGTCCTCTCTCTAGCTGACCCTTCTGCTTTACCAAGTTTCACAGG